TGCCGACCGCTCGCCGGTGCGCAGGAAACTGCGTCCGGCGGGGAAGCCCGGGCGCCGGCGCTCCGCGTTCCGCCGGCCCCTCGGTCCCCGGCTCCCGCCCTCGGCGTGACCAGCACCCACCCTGCCCTTCGGCGTGGCGGGGGCCCAGACTGCGACGCAACGCCTGCCCCTCCCTTTTCTGTCCGGGTGCGAGGGAGCCCGACAGCCCTCGCCTTTCACTTTCCGAGACTAGGAAATGACCCCCCACGGAGAGCGGGGGGTGCCCGGGGGTCACGCCTTCGCCTGCTTCCCGGAAGGCCAGCACTTCCTACACACGTTACCCCGCGAAAGATGGAGCGCTACGCTCTCCTTAATTTATAGCCTTGGAGAAAGACTGGGCTTTCTACCCCTGCAAGCAATTAGTCGCGGAAACCCACCAGGGGGTCGCTGTGAATCAGCATCGGACTCCAAGGCAATGCGTTTGGGTTTTTTGGTTTTCAATATATAGCCTTAGCACTCATTTGGGGTCCTACCCGATTCTATAGGGTCCCTGTGATGTAGTCCTGATAAAAATAGGGTCTCTGAGGATAGGGTCCCTCTGAAGACAGTTCAAAGTCAACTCGATGGCAGCAAGGCTGGTTTTGGGGTGTGGGGTAAGTACAAGGTCCCTGTGAGAATAAGGTTGCTGTGAGTCCGAATCGACTGAGTGGCAGGTAACGCAGCAGCGTTTCCTTCTGTTGTACAAACATACGGTCACTCAAACAATTGACTGCATGGCAGTGGGTTGGGTTTGGCAGTGTTGGGCTGCAAGGTCTTTAGTTCAAATATGCTAGCCTCTCAGAGGGAGAAAGAGGAGGCTGTCTGCTCCTGTGAAGATTTAGTCTCACAAACCCTATATAGCATATATACTCGTGTATAAGCCGAGTTTTTTCGGCACATATTTTACGCAGTTTCTGTGGTAAAATTTGGTGCCTCGGCTGCTAGTCGGGTCGGCTTATATACAGGAGTCCAAATTGGCCCAAAAGGGTGGTGGTGGTGGTAATCTGGGTAGACTACAGAAACAAATTCATTGTAAGAAAAAGCTTTATATCAAAGAGTAATTGTACATTAAGAAGATATCCCAGTTCAGATCAAGTTCACAAGTCCAATATTAGCCCATAAGTCCAATACTAGTACATAAATTCCTCTTTAGACAACGTAGCCACTCACCCCGATGCCAAATGCAGGAAGGACACAGGCCGGTGGGTCCAGTGCCAGTGGACGCATTTGTGGGGCTCTGGCTGCCTTCAGTGTGGCTCCACATAGCTTGTCAACAGGGATGTGAAGCAGAGAGAGTGCGTGTACCACCTCCAGGGAGGAAGAGAGGAAGTTCCCCAAATCTTCATGAGAAGATTGACAGGCTTAGACACTACTCCTTCACTCAATATCCTCAAGTTGACACGAGATTATGTAACTACCAGGTGGTCTGTAAATCCTCAAGTGCTTATATCAACTTCCCTACTAAGAAAGCAAATGGAAACTCCCACATCACTTGTCTCTGGATTTACTCTGGAGAGATAGTTAACCCAACTCACCACTAGCTAGGGACCCAGTCCTATGTAAATGCGAAACATGTTTTTTAAGCTTTTAGCATGGATAAGCTACAGGATGGTAGGAGTTTGTGGACAAGTGAAAATTAGAAATTAGACATACTGTTATGTACACTAAAATTAGTCTAGCCTACAAGGCCTTTCAAACAGCCTTCGTGGGATAGCAGTTAAGTGCTCAGCTGCTAACAATAAGCTCAGCAGCTGAAACCCACCAGCTCTTCTGTGGGAACAAGACCTTGCAATCCGCTTCCATGAAGGTCACAGCCTAAGAGATCCCTTGGAGCATCTCTGCTTTGTCCGACAGGGTCACTGAGTCAGCATGACTGCAGCACATAAAAACAGGCACTTCAGAATCCCTCCCTGCATACCTCCTCACACAGATCTCTTCTTGGAACCCCAGGGTGACTTGAAGTTCCTCAACAATAACACGGGAACCCCTATCTGACTAGTTTCTTCTGTTTCCTGGGCCTTGGCTTGATAAAGTCCCCTCTGTATGAATCCATTTTAAGCCAAAGTTCACTGCCATCGAGTTGACGTTGACTCATGGCAAGCCTATAGGAGAAGGTAGAACTACCCTGCCGCCAGGGCCGGTCATGGGAGTCCGTTTTAACACTTACTGAGTAAATACCGAGGGTGATACCAGGTCGGGAGCACGATCCCTCAGTCCGTGGCGCACACTGTCCAACCGTAAAGGACAGCCACCAAACTCGTGGTTTGCTGTGCAGTTTATAGACCGAGCGCATTTGGAGGGTTTCTGTTAACGTTTTCTCGAGTTCCAGAAGTTAGCAACTGGCAAGACATTTCCTCGGCAGAGACAGAAATCTTTATGCACGCAGGGTGAATGGGGTGATAAAGATGACCAGGAGCCAGAAGGGTGCTGTGAATGGTTCAAACTCCCCAGGCTCTCCAAAGGAGGTTAGATGAGGCTATCTGCTCCCACAGAGTCACAGCCTTGGGAACCCTAGAGAGGGTCGTCATGAGTTGGAATTGACTTGGTGGCACTGGGTTGGGCTTGGGGTTTAGCATAATGACCTCAGAAATTGTCAGTGCAAATTAAGAGAGCCACGTGTCATAATTCGAGTAAAATCATCCATATAGCTTGTTTTAAAGAACGCAATGTGCTGTTGAGTGTAAATCTTACTTTTGAAATTCTAACTAGGAAAGACCTGGACATGAAAACTTCAGAGGGTTAGGAAAGGAGAACTAGAAACTTCTGTTCCTCGTTTGACTGCCCCAACCTCCAACCCTGTTCTGTCTCCCATAGCACCCTTGACTTTTCAGCCAAGTTCTACAATCCATTGTAATAGCCACACAGAACTCAGAGACAATGCCCACCATTATGAGGTTTATTTTGGAAGTTAACAGGTTGCAATTCAGGTGGAAATCCTCAGGATAGAGTTAAGTCAATTAAGACATTTACAAAGTTACAAACGGTGGTGATAAAGGCCTGGAGGGCATGCCATCTGCAGTGCCGCCTCAACCCAAGGGTCCTCGACTCCACCTCTGAGGGTCAGCTGGCCCAGCTCCAGAAGGCACCCCACTCCACATGCCAACGTCCTGCACCACAGCCCTCAGATGAACTTGCTCTGGACTTGCTGGGAAACCCTCTGCTCTGGCTCCTGGTTCTGCTGCTGCTCCTCTGGGGTCACAGCTGTCTTCTGGGTCAGGGAGGTTCACTGTGCAGGGCTCCCGAGAGCCAAAGGACACACTCCACTCCTGGCTTTTGCTGGTAGTGAGATTCTCCCAACCCCCCTGCTTCTGAAATGGCTCCTTTTGTACCCAGCACGATAATAAACACAATCAGTCCCATTAACAAGCACTCACAATTGAATCCTATCAGGATCTTCTCCCATCTTCTCTTACCCAGACCCAGTGGGAGTTAGAGAAACTATGGGTAGAAGAGTCACAGTCATTAATTTGCTGCCCTGCACTCTGATAACCAGTAATTTGCTTTTGCCTCTGAGAACTTGCCTATTTCAGAAAAGCCATATTAATGGAATCATACAGTATTGGTCTATTTGTCTCTTGCTGGCTACTTTCTCTTACTAGCATGTTTTCAAAAGCCAACCAGGTTGTAACAAGGGTCATTCCTTCACTCCTGAAGAGTCCTTTCACCCTTGAGGGCATCCATCCCAGAACGACATCAGTAGCATCAAGCTTTACCCTAGTGGAAGCACCTCCAGATTGAGGCACGAGTCCAGGGGAATAGAGGGTCCAGTCTTGTGGGTTCACATGATAGATGCGTCCCCAGTTCTCCTCAGAGAACCCTCTCCTTGCTCGGAAGGATCAACTCCATGGACTTCCCTCTGCACTTCCTGTTGCTGGTGTCTCCAAACTAATGGAACAAAATGCATGTCCCAATATTTGGGAATTTGGAATAATGTCATAGAGACTTTGTGGGCTAATTGTGGGTAAAATACCATCACTGGAAGGTGGACTTGGCTTTTCGCTCACTGGGTACCCTGCATTTGGTCCATCATCAGCTGCCCTGTGGTTCTCGACATGTCAGCCAGTGGCCTGCCACAGTGGGATCCATTAGCCTTCATGGCTTATGAGCCAGCAGCCTGCC